AGCCAATTTTAGTTGGGATTCATGGCACTCCTGTTGTGCCAAGTTGTAACACCTTTTTAGTGCTGTCCACTTCCCGCAATTTTATGTTACATCTTGTAGGTTTCTAAATGTAACTAAATCTGGTACTATCAAATGCACAAAGGGAGAGAGCGACCAGGCGGGCTGTCGTGACACGCTACACATAATATAATGCTACGGAACTTTGCAACCCCTGGAAAAATACCTCCTGCCCCCACCTTGACTTTTTACCTGATCCCATAAAAGTAGAAGAGGGACCCATTCACTTATCAGTATCTTCAGGAAGACAGGAAGACTTCAGGATGGATTTAAACTTGCCTGCCATCATAAAAATTGAGTTTATCAGTGCCTGGAGCTTCAGGATGGGCACCCGCCTCTTAATGGTGACTTTAATTCCAGTCCCTTCATTCTTCTCAGGGAACTCAAAGGAAGCCAGTTGCTGTTACAGCAAAAATATAAATAAACTAAGCTCCCCCAGCAGGCAATTTGCTAGCTTGGAAGGAAAGCTAACCTTTAAACTGCAGTCTCTTTTTAATTCTTCTCTTTTCCCACCACCTCAGTAATGGAACATTTTGCTCTTGCAAGCTAATTTTACAGATGCTGCTCGGTTCTCAGGAATTGTTTTTCTTCATGCTTTATGAGCTTGGTAGGTGGCAAATTGCTCTCAGTCATACACCGCAGAGTCGCCAGCAGAGATTTTGTGTGGAATTCAAAGCTGCCTGTGATGTGGAGCACAGGGGGCCCAACATCAAGTAGTGCATGCTTCAATCTCTACCCAAGGGAACTGCTGTTGCCCATCACATTTTGCTATTATGCTGGCTATTGATCTTGTTCAGTAAATTTCACATCCCCTGCACATGATACATTCTCCCCTTTGACAAGAAAGACTAAGGAAAGTCAGCTGGGCACAAAACAACTTTCTGATTATACAAACTGCACCTGCAATATGTGCGCAAGATCAATAGGGTTTCATTTATCCCAAACTGGAAGGCAAAAACGCTTGTTTGAAGTTCAAAAAGAGAACAGTAGAGAATCAAATGCCACTATAGTTGCATGATGCTACATAGAAGGCAGCCAAAATTTGAGTAATAAGATATTTTATGGAGTTTCCAAGTATTATTGGAAGCAGTTTCAGGTTGGAAATGAGAACACAACCCCAAGGAAGCAAGAACTGATCAACAAGTAGCCCTATTAACACAGTTCAGGTCAAAAGCTAGTTAAGCCAGAGGTGCTGTTTCTGCTGATCTTCGTTAATCTTGACAACAGGCCAAAGCCGAAGGCCTCATTCAGCAGACAGTGGAGAAGGGCTCCCAAATGCATCAAATGTAGCTGGCATACTACAAAATTTGAAGTATGTGAAGCAACACACAACTACCTTTCTTCTGGACCTCTGATAAGACCATATCAATCAGCATGTGAAGCTTTTCAAATTATAAAGAATTTGCCTCATATCCCTAAACATGTGCACATTTTTTGTATTTTATTCGAAGTAAGTATGTGAAGCAACACACAGCTACCTAACAACACCTTTCTTCTGGACCTCTAATAAGACCATATCAGTCAGCATGTGAAGCTTTTCAAATTATGAAGAATTTGCCTCATATCCCTAAATATGTGCACATTTTTTGTATTTTATTCGAAGGTCAGAATTTTCCTCTCTTATTGGAATATGCTTTCATGTAGAGTTTAGGTTGCATACAGGCCACAGTCAGATCTCATATTGATCTAATTTCATATAATTCCCCCCTCCACAGAATGTAACGCTGAAATAGAAGTAAGAGTAGGCAACATACCTTAATTTGACCTTTCAAGCAAGGCTCACTACACACTGACCGAACCATTCCACTTTTGTTCATCTGAATCTTGTTATCATCAATATTCAACACCCCTTCATGCCAGGTCCCAATGTAGACATAATCATAGTGATTACCTTCTATTTGCTGGAGATTCATGATGTCATACCTAGGGGGAAAACAGCAGCATACAAAATATCAAATTAAAATGGTTACTACAATTAGCATCTTTTTTGGCACTTCACATCAATTCAATTCATGACACTTGGTCAGATTAGATGCGTCACTCTGCTCATATGTAGAAGTAGAGCTTCTTCCAGTGGCAAAAGATGTCTGTCTGTCTTAGCAAGAACATCACCTTGTGAATTAGATCTGTTTGTTTAATGATTGGTCATCCTGAGGTCCACCATGTGCTTTCTTTGCAAGTCTGACTGCTTTAGGGACACAGCTCTCAGGAAAGCTGTGTTGCTGGGTGAGAAAAATGTCTGTCAGCTTCTAGATGTGAACTGAGCATCTCATCTACTTTGGCCCTCAGAGCCAGGAAGTAATACATAACAAGAAAGGTGGTAATCTAGAACACATTATTTTGGGGATTAATGGCATTCGTTTTAAAAGCAGTGCAGAATCAGGGTACTAGGACTAGCGGTAGCGAATTTCCAGCTTTAAATCATTCATTATCTCATTCCATGGCTACCAAAGGTCTCCTAGGATGAGGAGATTCCCAGGGATCCCCACAACCTGGTGAGGGAGGGAATAGGAAACATTTAATTCTGTCTAAAAGGCTGTGGCTTGATCATGGTTGATGACACTATTGGAGCTTCATGGCTTAGCTTGCAAAACAAGATTCCAGCAAATGAATAACATGTCATTCATTTTTTTGCTAATTATTCAGTGTAAAATTTTTTGCTCATTATTCAGTGTAATTTTTTGGGGGGAAGCAATCTTCTTACTTTGGAAAGCACTTTAAGAAGAGAGTTCTTTTTCCAATTTTGGGACATTGTTTTACATGAAACACACACACACACATTAAAAAACAAGCAATGTAATTGGTAATTTAATGAACTTTTTTTTAAAAAAAATCAGTGATAAGTAACAATAGCAACTTCTTATTCAAAGTAAGTTTCCAAACTCTGTCCCTTCTCTCCTCAACAACCCATTTAACTTCATTGGCCTAGGCTCTTTATGGAAAATAAATTAATTGGCAGTGATTGCTCCAGTCCTTGTTTCCCTTACTAACTGCTGTTAGTTCAAAACCGCCAAACTATTCTTGGTATATCTCTTTGTCATTCATGACTCAGGTATGAGCAGTTAACAGGCAGCCAAAGTCTTTCTTAATACTACAACTACAGATTGATAGCACTAGAAAATTAAATTCAGAACATGAAACCTAGGAGTAGTACTTCATTCAATTTAACTTGCGTAAGGGGCAGAAATGCAATATCAAAGCACTGAGATGAAGGGGAAAATGGAAATTAAAAAACCAGTATCCTAGACAACTTTTGATCATTTAATATCTGATTACATGTACAATAGCTGTATATACAATAGCCTCCCTCCCAGACTTAGGGCGGGGGGGGGGGGGCATCCTTGATCTAGCCTTTCTAGCCACCTTCCTATAAAGCACAGAGTAAGTAAGGAGCTGGGAGCTGTCATTTGGGCTGACAGTATGGTGAAAGGTAACTAGTTCCTGGAGCCTCCCCCTGGCCAGTTATGAGTGAATTTCCAAAGGAAGAAAAGTATTTCAACCACAATTTTATGAAATTGACCTAGTAATTTAAGGATGAAGAGTTCCATGAAAAAGCACCCCTTTATTTTGTTCCAATTTTCTTTTGCCAGACTGATTCATTAGAATATCTGTTTGGGTTTTCAGTCTCACTAAATAGGGCTTTCTTTGGAAGAGACATGCAAACAATTGCATGTTTGATCTTTGATATTCCTGCTGCCATCATAGAAGGGCAGCATGAGGTGCCTTCCTAGATATGTTATAAGAAGAGTTAAGATGCCAGATCAGGTCTGATCCCCATGGAACAGCAATTGTGCATTCTCATTCTTATTAAAAAGAGAAGACATCCAAACATTTTTAATAAATAAATAAATATTTCAACATTAAAAGTAGAATTGCATGGAATAGTACACAATGGGTTTATATTTAATATTTACAGAGTTGATATTTCTATTTTATATCTATAGCACTGCTGTTTCTTTGGTGGAGTGTTTCACAATGCAACTCTAGAATAAAATGAGATGTTTAAGCACTTATCTGTTCACTGATATTAGCACATTTTTTCTATAAGTAATGCAACTGCTGTCCACTTTGAGTGGCTTCCAAACTGAGCAGTACAGACACCATACCTTGAAATGGTGGTGGTAGTGAGGCATAACCTTACTTGGTCCATGAGCTAACTGTTCTGTGCCTACCTCAAATGTGTGGCAAAAGAGAAGTTAATTTTCTAATAATAGCTGCCATTTTGATTTTCCTCAAATCAGTCTCAGATGTCAGAGCATGGTGGGGGACAAAATGTCTCTCAGGATTTTGGTTCCTTCCTAAAATTGCGAAGAATCAAAATGCCACACTTTCAGGGGAGCGAAATGATTGTGAATTGGCATTTCAGTTTTGTATAGCTGCATTGTTTCTGCAATATAAGCATATAAAAAGGTGTGCATGACCAGATCAAATACTTCCCCACAGTGACAAGCAGATGCTCAAGGGATGTGCTTTAAATGTGTTTTGGTGTTGCTTATGTTTTTTAGTATGATAGTTAGTATGGTATTTGTTTGATTCTTTTTAATATTTGTATACTCACTCTTGTTGACTTAATATTGTCTTTTTAAAGATGCAAGCTGCCTTAGGTCCTTTTAAGGAGAAAGGTGGGCTAAAATATTTTGAAGGAAGGAAGGAAGGAAGGAACGAACGAACGAACGAACGAAGGAACGAAGGAACAAAGGAAGTTCATAATCAGCTTATCAGTACATTACTGCCATTCTGCTTCTGTTGCCCAGAAACTGGGGCCACAACTACATCTTGCGCTAGCAAATTCTATAGTTTGGCTCTGCATTGTGTGAAAAAGTACCTGCTTTTATCATACCTAAATTTCATGCCACTCAGAGTCAGGCTATACAGGATGTCAGCTTCACAATTAGTGACAAATCTTCCTTAAAAGGTAATGGACATTAGATTATCTCAAAGCTTCCTCTGGTTGCAAATGGGGCCACAACTACATCTTGCGCTAGCAAATTCTATAGTTTGGCTCTGCATTGTGTGAAAAAGTACCTGCTTTTATCATACCTAAATTTCATGCCACTCAGAGTCAGGCTATACAGGATGTCAGCTTCACAATTAGTGACAAATCTTCCTTAAAAGGTAATGGACATTAGATTATCTCAAAGCTTCCTCTGGTTGCAAATGAGCTCAGTTTCCTTCCTTAAAAGGTAATGGGCATTAGATTACTCTATCTCAAAGCTTCCTCTGGTTGCAAATGAGCTCAGTTTTGTTTGGTGACTGGTTATCTGGAGGTAAACAACAGACTTTATTTGCAAATTCATTGCACAGACAAGCAGCTTTGAAGGAGGGTGTCTCTGCAGGAACAACATCCTTCTCCCTTATAAACCTCTTCACTATATCTAAAACTTTCAACACCTCTATTGCCTCTAGAACAGTGGTTCCCAGTCTTGGGTACCCAGATATTCTTAGACTAAAACTCCCAAAAATCTTTGCTACTAGCTGTGCTAGCCGGGATTTCTGGGAGTTGTGGCCCAAGAACATCTGGGGACACAAGATTGGTAAGCTCTCAAGTATTTTTCAAATAATCTTCCAGCTGTGTACTTCTATGCATGTGTGGAAGAAGAGACTGCTAAAACAGTTGACCCAATAAGACAAGTAGTCTAATTCTGGTGGCCCTAGGTTGGGAACCACTGCTTTAGTATATTCCGCAAACTACTGAACGTTTCAGTTTCTAATAAACAGTTGTTGTTGTTTAGTTGTTAAGTTGTATCTGACTCTTCGTGACCAAGATGGCCAAAGTATTGGAGCCTCAGCTTCAGGATCTGTCCTCCCAGTGAGGATTCAGGGTTGATTTCCTTTAAAATGGACAGGTTTGATCTCTTTGCAGTCCAGGGGACTCTCAAGAGTCTCATCCTGCACCACAATTCAAAAGCATCAATTCCTCGGCAGTCAGCCTTCTTTATGGGCCAGCTCTCACTTCCATACATCACTACTGGAAAATCCAAAACTGGACTTTTGTTGGCAAGGTGATGTCTCTACTTTTTAAGATGCTGTCCAGGTTTGTCATCACTTTTCTCCCAAGAAGCAGGCGTCTTTTAATTTTGTTTTAATAAACAGTAGCATATACTAACCTCCTACAATTCTGTAGATCTGTCTGGAATAATAGCTGCTGGTTCAGAGGCTTCAAAGAAGAGAATGCAGTGAAATTTGCTTCCCTGCCAACCGGTCCTTTCCATCATCCAGTGGTGTCGAAGTTTCCTTGGCACTGAGAGAAGGAACACTTTGCTTTCCAAAGCTGCAGTTAGGATCCATGCCTGGTGCTTACGGTGTGATGACATGGCTCCATGAAGCATGGCGGTTTGCCACTGCAAGAGTGCTGTATTTGCCCACCCCTCTCTTCCCATTCCAGACAGTATGAGATTTCAGGAGACCAAATGGCATGTCAGTGGGATCCCCCCCCCCCATAATCCATTTCATCTTCGGAATTGCACCCTCAATATTAAACCTGAGTGGCTTGGAGGAAGTGGCTACCAGTGCCATGTTGTGGTCTGAGTGGATCCCTCCCCTTCCAGCCTGGACCACAAGCCAACTCTAGTGGTTGGTTGTCATACATAATATGTGTCTGTGAAACCTGACAGCTCAGAGCCCATTCTTTGTTTTATTCCTCTAAGGTCCTTTCCCTAGGGAACAGCAGGCTCATCCTTCCAAACCTGATCTGCCAGATGTACCATCTGTCTTTATATTAAACTTGTGGAGGTCCACACAATATTTTCTTTGACTTAAAGCACATTTATGTCATAGACTCTGAGACTCCTTGACATAAATTAATCAAGGGGTTGCATTTAATAATGAATGAGAGGCAGCTCTGCAAGCATTTCATGAACAATTAGCAACCCAGGTGGAAAATCTGCTGCTCGCCTGCGCAAAGGAAGTACGATCTGCTTGTA